TTGCTAAAAAATAATGGTTTTGAATTGTAGCATGGTTATTTCAGAGTGGTCAGCTCAGTTCAGTAGGAACGAACAGTTTGACACAACCTACCAAAAAGCTGGTCTTACGAGAGATATCTATAATGGGGGACGTAAGAACCCTTTTTCCCGTTGTCTTGGTTAGAGCTTAGTTGGAAAACAGTGCGTTCAGTTCTGGGGAATGCACATCAGGGCAAAAAGTGACTAGGACACTTTCAGGAGAAAGATGAATGGCAAAGAGAAAATGTACTCTGGATGTTTGTAAGAATAGGGGCCTATTGTTGAAGAAAAAAATTGAAGGGCTGAGGTAACAGTCTTCAACAATTAGAAGGACCATCTTAATGGAAGAGGGATATAGATTTGTTCTTTGTGGCCCCAAGTGAGGCAACTGGAAACAGCAGCCTCTGGGAAAGTAGATGTGTCCTTACAAGGAAGAATTTTCTTGTATATACATTTAAACTTTATATCCAAGTCCGTTATCCTATAGTGCAATAATGATTTCAGGGGCAGATTCTAGTGATTCATGCCCTATGCCTAACACCCAGTGCTCATCCCAACAGGGTCTTCCTTAATGCTCCTTACCCATTTAGCTCATCCCACCCACCCATAACCTCTTCAGCAACCCTCAGTGTATTCTCTGTATTTGAGAGTCTCTTATGTTTTGTCCCCATCCCTGTTTTTACATTATTTTTGCTTCCCTTCCCTTCTGTTCATCTGTTTTCTATCTTAAATTCCACATATGAGTGAAGTCATATGATATTTGTCTTTCTCTGACTTATTTTGCTTAGCATAATGCCCTCTAGTTCCATCCATGTTGTTGCAAATAGCAAGATTTCATTCTTTTAGATTCCTGAGTAATGCTCCATTGTGTGTGTGTGTGTGTGTGTGTGTGTGTGTGTGTGTGTGTATACTACATATGTATATATATACACGACATCTTCTTTATTCACTCATCTGTCAATGGACATTTGGGTTATTTCCATACTTCAGCTATTGTTGATAGCACTGGTGTAAACATTGGGGTGCATGTGCCCCTTCAAAACAGCACCTCTGTATCACAAGGAAGAGTTTTCTGTTATCCCCACCCAAATATAGAGAGTTGTTCTTTTGCTGTTTGTTTTGTTTTTTGGGAGGAAAGGGTGGAAATGTTGGATTCGTGGGCCTTTAAGGTGTTGGAATATGAGACAAGTAACTACTTTTGGTAGACACATTGCAGAGGAAATTCAAGGTTACCATTGAATTGGATTACCATTGGAGATTGGATTTCACAAGCATCAAAGTTGTCTCCAACCCTGAGAATCTCAGCAGCTACTGGTCTGTCCTTTTAGGCTTTGCTTCCACCTTGGTCACCATGGTTGAGATATGCTTTTGGCAGATGGACGGATGGTTGGATGGATGGATGGATGAATGGATGGCAGGGGATGGAAAGAATCCACAATGACAGAGCAATTACTTGGACCATTCTCACTTAGTCTGCCATTTCTGTTTTCCCTTTCCTTTGTACTCATAGGCTTGCCTTAGACCTTTCACATAGCAAATGGTTTTAGCTTTCATGAAGCCTAGTTTATTTATTTTTCATCTTGTGGATCATCTCTCTCCTGGGTAATTGCAGTGGGACCAATAATACCTTTTTTTTTTTTTTAATTTTTAAAGTAGGCGCCACACCCAATGTGGGGTTTGAACTTATGACCCTGAGATCTAGAGTTGCACTGACAGAGCCGTGCTGGCATCCCTAGATCCCCTGTTCTCTTGATTCTGCCCTTGCCTCTCAGTTGGCTATTGTTATCAGAGCAGAATGGTTTTTTTAAAAGTAATTGCTCACTCAAGATTTTTCATACTTCCCATGTCACTCAGAGTAAAAGCTGGTCTTGACTATAGCTTACTATCTGGTCCCTCATTACGTCTCTGGCCTCTTCTTTTACCACTCTCTGCGACTCTCGGTTCTGGTTACACTGGCTTCCTTTGTGATAGTCTATCAGGCCAAGCAACCCTTGATCCAGGACTCCAACCTCTTCTTTTTGTGTGGAAAATAGAACCTTAGCTCTAAACTTTCTTATTGCCCTCAGGTCTTACTGAAAAGGGATCTTTTTAGTAAAGACTTCCCATTTAAAATAGAAATAACCCATTTCCTCTAGACCCAAATTCAGTTTGTTTTATTTTTCTTCATGCTATTTGTTGATATCTAACCTACTACATATTTGATGTTTTTGAAACGATGATCTGTCTTCTCTTCTAGAATTAAACTCCTTGGGAGAAAATTCTTTTGTCTGTTTTGTTCATAACTGTTCAACCGCAGGATGTAGAGAGCTTGGCACATAGTTGAGACCCAATAAGCATTTATAGAATGAAGAAATGAAGGAATGAGTAAAACACGTCCCAGCCTAGCTCTGCCTTCCTGTGATAAAGCCCATTAGTCCCTGCATGGAGAATCTGTACTGGTACCATTGGAATCATCTTTTCTTTAGGGAAGAGCAGTTTGCTTGTTTCAGAAATTCTGGATCTAAGAAGCATGCCTTAAGAATCTTCCTTCTTCCAAATAAACAAAACCAGAAACAGACCTATAAATACAGAAAACAAATTGATGGCTGTTGGAGGGGAGGGGCAAAATGGGAGCAGTGGGAAAAGAAGGGAATTATCTTCCTTGGAATGAAGGGATTAGCACTCTTAATGAATTTTCAGCTCCTAGTGAAGTAGCGATCATCAGTGGCTACTAATTCTATGTATTGAAAGGCTAATGGGATCATTATAGTGGAGGGGTTAACCCTACAGCATTGGAACCCACTGATCAATCTCAACACCGTTAAAAACAGGACAACCTTCTGTGTTTATTTTGTGATTTAATAGGAAGGCACACAACACCACTTATAAAATAATCCTGCAATAACAAGAAACTGAATTAAAGTCTAATTAATTCTCTAGCTCTAACTGCCTGTTTGGAAGGAAGTATGGATAGTAGAAGACCATCTTAAATGACATCACAAGAATACAACCAGCCACCTCCAAACAACAGAAAATACTACAGGATAAATGATTTAGTTTCTTCAACAAATAAATGCCCCCTAAAAGGTAGGAAGAGCTGTCACAGACTAAAAGACACATTGACTAGTTGCTATGTGTGGATCTTGATTTATATTTTGCTCTTTAAAAAATGTTTATTTTAGAGAGAGGGAGGGAGGGAGGGAGAGAGGGAGAGAGCGAGCGAGCGAGAGAGAGCGAGCATGTGTGCACAGCCCACAATTGTGGAGGGGCAGAGAGAGAGAATCCAAAGCAAGCTCCAGCATAGAGCTTGAACCCATGAACTATATCATAACCTGAGCAGAAATCAAGCATCAGATACTTAGCCAATTGAGCCACCCAGGTACCCCTGGATTTTTATTTTAATGAATGTGGTATAAAAAAGATATTTGATAGGATTATGGGAATTGGAGTATGGCTTGGTTATAAAGTGATATAAAGAAATTGTGGTTAAATTTGTCGCATGAGATAATGATAATGCTGGTTAAAAAACAACTTATCTATTGGCTATAAATACTCCTACATTTCGTGAGAGATGATATAATGTCTGAGATTTTCTTTGAAATACAGTACTCCCCTACCCCCATCCACTCCCCCAAACATCTAAGCTAAAAGAATTGAACAGAAAGCTCTATGTGTGTAGTGTGAGGAAGGGGGTGTGGTGGATGGGACAAGAATGATAGAATATTGATAATTGTTCATATTGGATGATGGGTCCATGGAACCACATCCCCGTCATATGATTTCTTATTGTTTGCTGGAAAATTTCTACCACAAAAGTTTTTTAAAAAGTCCTTTTTGCCCCTTCTTACCTAGGGATTCTCCAAGAAACAGGAAGTTTGAATCTCATCAGCAAAGGGGGTATTTGTCTTATTTTCACTCCCCCTGCTTGGAGACCATGATGCTCCACAGTGCCTTTCAGATTTGGACTCCCCTTTGTCCAGTGGGACTTCTGGGAGTTCACCTCATTCCTGCGCATCAGTACTCCCACTGGACGGTGGCCACTGCCCCAAAAGGAGGTGTCTCTCATTTTAGACTGGGATCAGAAGGATCCAGATGGGTTGCCGCTTATAACTGGTACACATTTCAGCCCACGAGCAGAGGTGTGCAAGAAATAGTATGAAATTGCTTTTGTAACTCCACTTAATTTGTATTTTAAGCCTTGATCCTGCTGATGTCCTGTTTGGATTTCTACCCATCCCTCTTTGGAAATCACAGAGAGCCACAGTCATGGGGGTTGAGGTGAGAGCATGGTTACTGTTCAGTGGGGTACAGACTTGTAGCTGAGAGGTCCATCCACTCGGTTACCATGTTTCCTTTAGGTTTGGTGACTCTTGTGCCATGGATGGGAAAGGTTGACTCTGCTCATATGCACAACACAGCCATCTGGTCTGAGAGTTTTTGCCGTATCTAACCCTTTAACCACACTTTAGAGATTCCTTCTCCTCCATGATCCACAGACCTCTCTGTGACGACCTAGATCTTACAAATCTAGTCAGAGAAGACAGCAAGTACATAATTACAAAGATCCTGCTTCTGTTAGGTTTCTGCTCAAGTATCCTCTCTTTTCTGTGGAGTTTGGGATTTTAGAAATAAAAACCAAGATGATGAGCAAGTTATTGCTGTTTTCAGCCCTGCGTGCCCTTCCTCTGGCCAGTGAACCCAGAATCTGCTACCCACTTGAATACAGAAGGGAAAGGGTAAAAAATAAAAAGAGAAAAGAAAAAAAATTCAACAAGAATAGATTCACATCTCAAAATATCCTATCACTCTTAAGAAGATGTGAGTTGAATTCACAGGAGAGGTTCCATTGGGAGAAAGGAATGGTTCTTGAAAATGGGGTCTGCGCATTTGTAAAGACCATGTGAGATCATGGTCCCCAGAATGCTCTGACGTCATCAGTGAGGTCAGAGAACCCTGCTGTGGGCCTGGTGACCTTTGAACCTTAACAGCCCTGGGCTGCAGCGAGCACTGGGCAGTGCTGCTGGTTCTCTGGCCAGTCTGACATCCTCAGCCATTTAGGGGGCTTGACTATTTTTTTTTGTATTGGGCCATTTCATCGAATTTCCTGAGAGTCAAGAAGGGCCAACCAGCAGGGAAAAAGAAAAGCTGGGTGTTAGGTGTCTTCTAAGAAACTTCTGTAGCTGGTACTATGAAACAGCGACAAAAGAGGAAACATCTGGAAAATGAAGAGTCCCAGGAAACGGCCGAGCACGGAGGAGGTATGTGCTGGTCACCTCATCTGGGGCACAAAGGCTGCCACCAGCCTGGGTCTCCTCCAGGAAGGTGGGATGGAGAAGCTCGTGTAGGGAGGGAGAGACCTGGTAGCAGCCAGCAGATGCCTCTTGTTAGTCTTGAGGTTCCCCTGTGGTGTGAGATGGCACAGGAAGGCCAGGTGGCCCCCTAGAAGCCAGGGAGTCATTCCTACCAGTCTGAGGACTTCTCTCTTGGGGCTGTTCAGGCCTGGAGCTGTGATAGACTGGTACTGGCCCAGACTCAGCCCTGTGTTTTCTCTCTTATCCTCTTTATTTGATCTTCCTTTGGGGTCCCTGTGTGTGGGGTGTGAAGGGTTCTGATACAGATCAACCCATGGAAGAGGAAAGAGAAGTCTTGCTCAAAAGCATTTTGAGAAGTGACATGCCTGTGCAGAAGATGATCTAGGGATGGCATCAGACCGAAAGCATGGAGATCGTATTCCTTTAGCGGGAAGAATTTACCAGTTGATCAATGGGAGTTTGTGAATCTGCAGGTGTGGGCTTTCCTGAGGAGATCAGGGGAAGGGAGGGGTCATTCACAGACCACACCCAGATGGAGGGAGGTGAGAAATGTTGGCAGGGACCTTTAGGGAGCTCTGAGAGTCTCGGATTTACTTCCCAGGGTACATGGTGACTGCATGCAAACAAGTAGCTTGCCCTGAGAAGGTGGGTGATCGCATGCAGGAGGCGGGACCGAATGGAGCCCACCCCAGAGATCTAGCTGGAGCCTTCTGCCCCAAATTAGAGCCCATCAGCTCCCTCAAGGCCCCGGGTCCTGAAGAGTGTGGGATGAGCCCTGGGAATGGAGGCCTGGAAAGGAGGCGGATTTTGACACAGCAGCATCAAATAGGGATAGGACAGAGAAAGCAATGTTCTATGTTTATCATATGACAAGATATGTTTGCCTTTGTGTGTGTGATGGGGCAGGGGGAGCAGTGGAGAGAAAGGGAAGAGTGTCCTTAGATGTGAAGTCTGTCTTGTAAGGTTCCTGTCACTCACCCATATACATTTTGGAACAGAACACACTTTCACATCTGCACACACACTACTTTGTTAAACCACACAGAGCACATAGGTATATATGCATATCACTTGTCTTCTGTGTTTACATACGATCCATGTATTTCAAAGTCATCTCCTGTTACACCACACTCTGGAATATGAGTAGGACTCTGGAGTATGAGAATGTCACAGATACTGTATGGTATGTACTCACACTAAAAATAAGCATGATCCAAATAGTGCATGGGAACACTCCCAAATAAAAATTATTTGCAGTTTACCTGAAATGCAAATTTAACTGGACATCCTCCACTGTTGTCTCCTAACTCTGGGAACCCTTGTATCCCTCACACCAGCTGACATATCATACCTTGACTATATGTCTGGTTAGTGTCTGTCTTCTACTACAATGTTCAGCATCGCCAGAGCCTAGAATAGTGCCTGATACATACTAGCTGAACACTGTTGAAGAAATGAAGAAATGAATGATAGAACACATACAATAAATACAGACCATATTAGATAAATCAGGAAATGTGACATGTCGCACGATTCCCAAGTTGTGAACACATGCTATGCTCCAAACACTCCATGTGTTTCTACCCTGCTCACCACACCGTCCCCACGTGTGTGAAAGGTTTGGCTGATACACATTATTCTCACATGTCAGACATCCTGTTCACAGCTACTACTCAGGTCTGCACTTCTAAAAAGACAAAACAAAATAATTATTGATAGTAATTAAATGCAGGAGTATCCACTGGGGACCAGACAGTGACCCATGTGTATTTGCCACACCTGACACAGGTCACATGCTCGGTTAATATTTGTTGGATGGATGAATGATGCCCACGCATGCCCCACCCACTGGATGTCTGAGGCTTTCCTATCTTTCTCAGGAGTCTCAAAGTCCCCTGAAGATGCCCCTCAGCTTGGATCACGTGGGGTGGCCAAAGGCTGGGACTCAGGGGTAGGGGAGGTGTCCTCTGCCTCTGAATACTTCTCCTGTGCTTCTTCTCCACGCAAGTTCATCCATGTCGGTAAGTGTTCAGGGCTCCTTGGATGTGGAGCCCCTCGGGTGAGGGGTTGGAGGTACACAGATCCAGGAGAAGCTGAGAAGAAATAAATCTAAGACAATCAGAAGTAATCAGGGCTCAGTGGAGGAACCTGGGAAGATGGTATAGCTGTTGAGAGAGCATGGGTATGAGCTTTGTGTTGGAGAGTGTGAGCCCTGGTGCAGTCATAGTTGGGAAGTTAAGAAGCAAGGGCCAGAAAGGTCCAGGCTCAAGCTGTGGGGCCACGGGACAGGATTAAGCACCTTCAGAGGAGTTGTGAGGCTTTGCCTTTGTCCTTCCTTCCAGAGAAGGATGGAGCTCCTCATGATAGGCCTCTGGCCCTGGAGCAAGACCATCCAGTTCAGAGCCCCACGCCTGATGTGCACAACTCACTCCACACACATCCCTTCTCAGCATGCACATCCCAACTGCCATCTCCTCTACCACTGACCCCCTGTCACCCACACACCGATGGTGTCTGAAACTCAAGCTCTGCTCATGGCACACGCAACCCACCACCATCCCACACGTTCTGCAACCCTTTGCCACCTGACTCCAGACCCCTGCATACAGATGCCCCTCCTGCCTCCCTACACACACGCAAAGCCCGTAGATGACACCAGATTCACCCCTGCCCCTGGAATATGAACATGAATGCCAAGCTGCTCACACCACAGCCCCTCTGCCTTCTACCACACGTCTTTTTTTTTAATTTTTTTTTTTAATGTTTTATTTATTTCTTGGAGAGAGAGAGAGACAGCGTGAGCAGGGGAGGGTCAGAGAGAGAGGGAATCACAGACTGAAACAGGCTCCAGGCTCTGAGCTGGCAGTCAGCACAGAGCCCGACGCGGGGCTCGAACCCACGAACCGCGAGATCATGACCTAAGCGAAAGTCGGACGCTTAACCGACTAAGCCACCCAGGCGCCCCTACCACACGTCTTCACACTTGAAGCTCCCTCAGCTTCTGGCCGGCCCCATGCATGTTCTTATGTCTCTAATTTCCTTTCCTAGGACTCCGGAGAGTACATCGAGACAGTCCCCAGCCTAGATCACCCCTAGTCCAGGGTCAGGAGCGAGGGGAGACTGCTCCCCCCTCACACCATGTCTCCTTCTCGTCCCCTTCGTCCTATAAGACCTGTGTGTCCTCTCTGTGCAGAAACAAAGAGGAAAAGGGCATGAAAATATACTATATGCAGGTACAAATGCAAAAGGGTGTGGCTGTCTCCTGGGAGACAGAGGAGACCTCAGACTCACTAGAGAAGCAGCCAAGGATGGAAGAGGTGACCCTTCCTGAGAACGTGCGGGTAGGTACCCCCCCCTCAGATGTGTCCACCCGAAACCTGCTGTCTGACAGCGAGCCCAGCGGGGAGGAGAAGGAGCATGACGAGCGGGCGGAGTCAGACAGCCCGCCAGGCTCGCCCGCGGCTGAGGAGAGACCCAGGGCCAAGACCCCCGACTGGCTGGTGACCATGGAGACCGGCTTCCGCTGCATGGCCTGCTGCCGGGTCTTCTCCACCTTGGAGATCCTCCAGGAGCACGTCCAGAACGGGATCAGGGAGGGCTTCAGCTGCTACCTGTTCCACCTCACCATGGCTCAGCTGACGGGCAGCGCCGCATCCGAGGGCACCCAGGGGGAGGAGGACGATGAGAACGAGGAGGAGGGGAAGGAGAGGCCGGAGGAAAAGGAGGACGAGGAGCAGCCCGCACAGAAAAGCCCTGGCGTGAAGCGACCCTGGAGCCAGTGCCCAGGCTGCGCGTTTCATTCTCCAAAGGACAAGAAGTGAGCTGGGGCTGGGCGTGCCGAGGGCACAGCAAGACTGGTCTCTGCCATCCACTCATGTCTCCAGAACGGAGAGTGGGGGGCTTTGTCAGATCAAGGACACCTGAAGGGTGGCGGGCGGGTGACTGGGCCCCTTGCTTCTTGTCCAGGCATTTGATACAGTTATGACAGTCAGTGGGGATTTATCCTGAGCTTTTCAGCTCTTGCAGGAAGTCCTGCAAATGTCCAAGGGCTAACAGAGCACCTTTCCTCTTGAACCAAGAAGCGTCTTTCTCTGTTCTGGTTTCCACACAGCAATTGAGATTCATGAGCCAGAAGGTCCTGGAAGATGGTGTGGCCTTCTCTTGGGAGAAGTAAGTAAGGCCTGAGGTTGGTGTAGTCTGAGCTGATGTCAGGGGGTCCCAGAGGAATCTAGGTGGAGGAATTACATGGCCTCACTAGGTTACCTGGTGGCTCTGCAGTGGCATCAGCTTGAGGTGTACTCAGTGTGTCCAGGGAATTGACCTCCATTTACTTAAACAAGAAAGTGAGAATTGAATGAAAATTTTTTTTAGTTTTTAAAAATTTATTTTGAAAGAGAGAGAGAGGGGGCAGTGGGAAGGGGGAGGGGGAGAGAGAGAGAGAGAGAGAGAGAAAGAATCTCAAGCAGGCTCCTTGCCATCAGCACAAAGCCTGATACGGGGCTTGAACTCACAAACCATGAGATCGTGACTTGAACAGAAACCAAGAGTGGGATGCTCAACTGACATAGCCACCCAGGTGCTCTGAGAAAGTGAGAGTTTTGATTGGCAGTTATTTCACTGACCCCCTGCCTGACCTGAGCTCTAAGAGCAAATACTGCCAGCAAATACAGCCCTTCTGGGCTGAGATAGCTCAGTGCAACCTCAAGAGCTAGGAGTGGTCTGGAGAGAGGACATGGGGACCTAGCAGGACCAGAGGTATGAGGTGTGAGAGCATTCAGCTGGAGCCAGCATCTCACTCCCACCCACAGATGTAGCCCTTGGGGAGATAGCAGAGTGTGGAGGGGGAGAAACACAGAAGTGAGCCCCTAAGAGATCTGGGAATGTTCCAGAACCTTTCTTTTGCTGTAGTTGGTCTGGAAATAAAGTCATTGCGGTGTGTGTGGCTCTGAGCTTTAAGCCAAAGGTGAAGGGTCACTCTGGCTCAAAGAACTCACGTCTCTTCCTGCTCTGCCTCATTTGTTTAATCAATTCCAGGGAGAAGAAAGGACCCTGGGGTTAGTCACAGACATAATGCCAATGATGTGAAGAAAGATGAAGGAACAGGCACTCACTCTAGCATCACATGAAAATATAAAGACCATATGTAATAAAGGCTGTTGTCCAAACCTTTCCTGGATATGTTCTTTAATTGAAGTTATCTGTCTGTCTGTCTGTCTGTCTACCTACCTACCTACCTACCTCCCTCTGTCCCTGTAGTGGCCTATGAACCAGGTTTCCTATAAGCACCAAGGACACCCACAGTCCTTTCCCAGCAGCAGCAGTACTGAAGCACTCGGGGTTGATTAGGCTTCTGTGTGACTGTCTTCACAAGACTGGATTCCACAAATGACACACTCCACTGGATTCAGAAGAGGTTGCCGGTAAGTAGCAGGTGCTATAAAAACTGTCCCATGGGTTGTGTCTGAAAGCACTGTGAAGGTGATCTTCAGAGGGCTGCTGGCTGGTGTGCTTGTTTCCCCAGGTCTGGCCTGGATGAGAGACAATTAGTTGTGGCTTCACAAGGAAACACCAGGACAGAGGAGAAATGTCTGAGTTTTGAAGCTGTCCACGGAACAGATTCCTCCTGCGTGGGTGAGACCTTGTCACAGTGCTCAGACGAAGCCATCTGACCACAATCAGTTGTGACTGCTGATTGATAGTTGTAGCAAAAGTTTAAGCCACATAAGATTGGCTCTGATATTTCCAGTTATGACATTAATATTTCCATTTCTAAATAAATCCTTCCTCTAGCCTCTCAAGTTTTTGACCTTTTCAACCTTGAACTTCATCTTCACACCACGGCTACCACCCCTGGGAACTAAGCACGTCTAGGAGGCGCTGAAGACTCATTTAGATGCATGAGGTTGTCCTTGGACTGAAGGTGAGGGGGGAATGATGTGTGTTTCTAATCTGAGTAGGGAGACAATGCTAGCCTTTAGAAAACTGATGGAATTAGAAGGAAATAATTCAAAGTTCAGGGATTCTTTCCATTTAAGTAGGATAAGGTCTAATTCCAAAGTCCTATGGATTTTTTTTTTTTAGGAATATGAAAGGTGACTTCATGGGCCTTTTTGAATCAACCATGGTTTCTATGATCTGGTGTTGTCATTATTATTTCAATAATAATAATAAACATAAACAATATGAACTTTCTCACTGGTTTTATGTTTCTCAGCCTTTTAGTAGGGATATCATCAGCATATCCGCATCTCGTGCCTCAAGATGCTCTGTATCCCCTTTAACTGTCATTCCAAGAATTCAGAATTTGAGGCTTATCCTACCCTTCCATACTCACACCACCGTCTGGGGGATTCCACTTAGTTTCTGACAGTGTCTGTCTGCTCCGTAACTTCTGCCTTGTTCTTTGTTCCTTGAGCCCACCAGGAACTTTATCTTTCGACACCCCCCCACCCCCCATCTTCTGGGGTCTACAACACTTCTTCTCCTTTCTTTGGAAGGTTTTTTTTGTTTTGTTTTGTTTTGTTTTTTCACTTCTCTCTTCCACTGACTGTTTCAGACCCTGAGAGTTTATTTCACATAACTTGGTGGGATGTTGTTTACACAGTGAGAGTTCTGGTTGCTATTCCTGCTCAGAGAGAGACTTCCCAGAAAGCACAGAGCAGAGTAACATAAGGGCCTGTGGGTAGGAGTCAGGTGCTGCAAGAAGCAGCTATTGCTAGGTGTGGAGAAACTTGTTGGAATTTTATATTTGTTAATCTTGTATCCACCTGTGTTACTGAACCTTTCTTATTCTTACTAGTTTGTCTGTGTGTTCTTCTGGGGTTCCTGGATAAATGATGAGGTTAAATGTAAATCAAATGTTCCGTGAGTAACCTGAGTTCATTATAATTCATTGGATAGACACTTTTTTAATGTTTACTTATTGGTTTTGAGAGAAATGGCACAGGTCAAGGAGGAGCAGAGAGAGAGAATCGCAAGCAGGCTCTGCACTGTCAGCATAGAGCCCTATGTGGGGCTTGAACTCACAAACTGAGATAATGACCTGAGCTGAAGTTGGATGCTTAACTGACTGAGCCATGCAGGTACTCTTATAGATACTTTTTGAACATATAACCGTTTCTATGCTTATTTTTAGATTCCCCTTACTGCCCAGAGGAAACCAGGGTCAGAGTTTTGCAAGTATCTAGTCCATATTTTCTTTTTTTAAAATTTTTTAAAAAATGTTTTTATTTATTTCTAGGAGAGAGAGAGAGACAGCATGAGCAGGGGAGGGTCAGAGCAGAGCAGAGCAGAGAAGGAATCACAGTCTCTGAAACAGGCTCCAGGTTCTGAGCTGGCAGTCAGCACACAGCCCGACCCGGGGCTCAAACCCATGAACCGCGAGATCATGACCCAAGCGAAAGTCGTACGCTTAACCGACTAAGCCACCCAGGCGCCCCTCTAGTCCATATTTTCATATATAGGTACATATATAATCATAACATAACATTGTGCATCACATTTTTTTCATTTTTATTCATTTTTGAGAGACAGAAAGATAGGGCCAGAGTGGGGGAGGGGCAGAGAGAGGGAGACACAGAATATGAAGCAGGTTCCAGGCTCTGAGCTGCCAGCACAGAGCCCAATGCAAAGCTCCAACCCATGAACCATGTGATCATGACCTGAGCCAAAGTCAGATGCTTGACTGACTGTGCCACCCAGGTGCCCCTATTACATTTAATTGCAGTCAGTCCTATGTTTTCATGTTTTATCCATGCCAGCTTGTTTCAATCTAGGTCTGTTATTTTAACTGTTCAATGTTTTTCCACCATATGCATATAGCACCTTTTTTTTTTCCATTCAGACATTATTGAACACTTGGATCATTTCCATCTTTTCTCTAGAGCAAACAATATTTCCTAGAGCATCTCAGACTTCTCCTGACAGTCAAGAAGGACCAGGCTGTCTAAAGCATTGCTCTTGCCTTTAACCACCTTCCACCAAGCTACCTCCAGCCAGTGATTTGAAGCACTCAGAAGCTCCTCAAAATGGAAAGATCTAAAGAGCCAGAAGGTAGGAGATTACTGTCATGCATCCTTTTGGGACCCCAGGGAAATCTGTGCTGGTTTGAGCCTCTCTCCTTGCTACCCTGGCCTCTCTAAAGAAACTTAGAAGAAAGGACAATCCAAAAACTGTGAGTAGACACTGGAGAGATGTTGGGGGCTCAAGCCACGATTGAGATCTCTGAGTAGACTCTGAGGGTGCAGCACATCCAGATAGCCAGGCTCCACCTTCTGAGAACTTCCAAAGATGTTTGTAATTTAGGTGATGCCAGGGGCACACAACTGATATGGGCCACCCTGTCCCAGAATGCTCCCTTTATGGGTATCGATTCCTGTTCACTCTTGTTTCCCATTATTTGGACACTGCCTTTGGTATCCACTGATATGAACCACAGTAGGTAGAAGATGCAAAAGAACCATCTTGATGCTCAGTGTCACCGCATAGCTTAGGGGTGAGGGATGCCGCCAAAGTAAGCTCATGAGGGAAAGATGGCATTTAAATAGATCTGAGTGCAGGGTGTTTTCTCAAGTCTTGATGAATATAATCTATGTCATCTCCCCCAAGGATTTCCAGAAGTCCTTGTTTTCAAGGCTGGCCATGGGTCTTGGTTCAGCCAATGAGGGAACCATGTATTCCTGTTTGTTTGGGGCTTGCTCATGCTTGTCCCCCTCTGATACACACTCTGCAAGACTGATCTTGTGTCCCTAAGACAACCTCTTACCTATTACTCTCATGAGTGTTTACTGTCTTCCCCCAGTGCCCCCTTAAAATGTCACTACAGTGAATTTTTTAAAGTTTATTTATTTTGAGAGAGAGCGAGAGAGCACAAGTTGGGGAGGAACAGAGAGAGGGAAAGAGAGAGTGAATCCCAAGCAGGCTTCACACTGTCAGCGCAGAGCTCAGTGTGGGACTTGAACTAATGAACCATGAGATCGTGACCTGAGCTGAAAACAAGTGTCGGCCAGTTAACCGGCTGAGCCACCCAGGTGCCCCACCATTACAGTGAATTTATAACTTGATAATCCAGCTTCTCATTCTTTTCTTAGCACCTTCTGATAAATAGTATCTGCTATATGCCACAGTCTTCACACGTCCATAATCCTCCTTAACTCTGCTGAAGCAGATGAATCCATTAGGAATCTTTTCTTTTTATCTTTCTTCTTTGGCATTTCATTTCTATCTTTTAAGATCCTTTTCTTGTCTCTCTACTATCCTGACTCTTTTCTCCTCCTCTTTAAATAGACTTTCTGTCCCCTTCCCTAAATTCCTCCCAAACATTCAGAGTTTATTCCTCATCAATTAGAGGACGTTTGATTGTTGAAATTCAGTGATAAGTTCGCTGGTGTTCTTGCAATGATGGAAGCTTCTCTGTCTGGCAGCCCACAAAAGCCAGCCCCTGAGACCTACAGTTGAGTTCCAAATCCTTCTAAAAACAAAACGCATACCAAGAATACCGCTCAGCTTTGAATTACCATCCAGTTAAGATGATTTGGGTAAGAGTCATGGGGTAAATATATCCCCAGATCTATGTAAATAGAAAACCAAAGAAACTGTAAAACAAAAATTGGAAGGAAACCACACATGAAACAAATTAGGGAGTGGTTTTAGTATGTACCAAGATGTCTGTGAGCGCGCGCGTGTGTGTGTGTGTGTGTGTGTGTGTATGTTTTGGTAAGTCGGAGGTAGAGGTGGGGGTAAGGGGAAAGGGGTTCTATGAGCTCTAATTACTTACCCAGACAAGTTCAGTGGAGACTCCCATTCCCCTGTGTGTAACACATGCATCAAACCTGCGAGGTCCCTCCTGTTTCTGTCTTGCACCTGTAGTGCAGAGGTCAAAGGTTCCCTTTGTAGGTTTCTCAGGTGATACTCCATTCTGAGATTTTCTCGCCTCATCCAAGAATCTGACATGAGTTCCCTTCTGCTCTGGGTTCGCGGACCCTTCTCTTCTTCTCATTCCTGGGGAATACTTTTCCTTAGTTTCTTTGCCAAACTCTTCCCTCTCGGAGGCATTCCACTATTTTTCCTCAAGACTTGAATAGTCATTTTGATGGCTTAGTGAACCTAGAGTCAGGTTAAACTGAGAATATGGTGAGAAGCAGGATTGTCAAAAGAAAAACTAGTTC